AACTGGAAGAAACTAGTTCAACTTAGAATGTTCAGTAATGGTTTTACCTCATACAAAAATGAGGATCGGGAAGGCCTGTTTTCAGTGAGGTTATCATGGATGATATTCGAAATTTATGGTACGCCAATAGCCAGCGTCTTGACCACTCGGCTGAATATTTTCAACCCGTGTCTTTTGTCCAACCCACTAAATTTAAGCCGTTATATGAGACTAGATCGTCCCACCAATGAACCTTTCTACCAACAGTACTGCATTATAGCTTCACGTAAGCTCCCACCAGCTCTATTTAAAGACGGAGATGAATCCCCATGTATTGTTTCGCCTAGGTTGGGATATTGTGCTGCAGCAAAATGGGCCGAATCAACCGGTGTACCTTTGTGCAAGAGGTGGTCTAGGCGGCTGCTCCAGTCCTAAGAAGAATAAGCCCCACGCCATCCTCATTCTTGCTGCGATGCCTAATTTCATCATACGAGACGCAAATCAAAAAGTATCAGGCAGGAGTTCAGCAGTGTAGGGGATTCATTAACCACTCTGACACATTACGTAGCACACTTGGGTAGTGTTATGCATACATTCGGTGATGATGCGGTGACGTGCCTTGACTTCAAAGCATTCGACCTCGCTGGTAGACACACTCTTCTACATATGCTTGGTTGATGTGGAATGCCCCTGAAGTTTTGCGAAGAATTTTCGTGCTTTTTTGTTCCCACAAGTGTGATGGCTTAAAATAAGTCATCAAAAAGAACCCCCTCGACGGTTCGGTAGGCATGTCCACTCCACTTAGCTTTGCGCAACGTGGTCATTGATATTATCACAAGTGCACCGTACGCGTATTGAAATCATAGCTTCAGAATGAGTTAGCTTAGATTATGCAAACGAGACTGTTCTGTCATTGATGACCGTGCGTACGCGTAAACCACATTAAACAGAACATTGTAAGTGATCTCTCGTTTCGGCATGTTGTCTAGACATTCAAAGTGCAAAGTCATACTTAGGGATTCCTCAATCCTCTGTGCTCTGCTGAAAATTAGGAATTGGAAGATCGCGTTTATTAACACTTTTAATTCCCTTGACGGTTGCACAAGTTGTGGTCGACTGTGACGGATGAAGCCAACGTACATATCACGCACGAGCGATAGTTGCTTACTTATGTCATCTTTGGCCCTGGAAAACGCCATGAGAACAGTCCTACTCTATGGGTGAGAAACTTGACCCCTTTGATCTCAAGACCTCATAGACCTTCACATATTTAATTACCCATGTCTTCGTAGCATAAAAGGAATCACTCGACCACAGAAAGTTCGAAATTAGACAGTCTGTACGCGCCTACAAAGTGACTTACATAGTACTGGGTACCAAGTACTCACCTGTGCTAGTCGGAGTAAGGTATTCGGGACGTATGCTACGAACGCCCATCCACCGCCTGCCAAAGAAAGTTGTTTTCCTTTGTTGGCAAAAGGTTCGGATAGACAGGCAGCGACATGAAACCAAGTGAAAGTTGTCGCAGTCCAAATGGGGAACTGTATGGCGCTCACGTCCTCTTAATTAAAAGTTACGTGATTCCCCTTGAGCGTAGTCGGAAGCTCTACAGGAAAAAGCGCATAATCGACCGCAGCTGTGAGCTTTCTGCCCCTTTCTAGTTGGACCGAATGGCTAACGCCTTCCCGTCGTTGTGGGCTGGGCCTGTGTCTTGAGTCTTCGAAGATACATACATTCATTGAAGCATAACGTCTTTTTAAACAGATCCCCCTTCTTTTAACTCCGAAGTAAAGTATATGGAAGATCAAGTTGTGATTAGAAGATGGAGAACCTAATTGGTGAGGCTGACTAAACTAATAGAAACGAGTCTCCAACAAGCGACGAACCTCACCGTCTAGTCCACTCAGAGTGCTTCATGTTGTTCAGGTTGTTTGCATCTATGAACGCTGAACGAGCTAAGTTTGAGCGGATGAAGGTGGTACGCCCCTGCTGTCCGTCGACATGTGTCTGTGTGGCTAGAAGAGTAAAACTTGGTGAAGTGGAACTGGAAGTAGCAATGATCGAGTAGTATCCGTAGATGGGGTAACATTTTTATTCCGTGACATCATGAGTTGTGTGTAAGCAAAATACCAACCAGCTGCGGGAAAAGGTTCATTCAAAAGTTTCCCAATGAAGCCTTTGACTAAAGAACCCAACCGGCAGTGCAGTGGGACGGGTCACGGAGTCTGTCATAGACTGACAGCGAATACGAGGGCACTTACTAGATAACATGTGGTCATCTATGATATCAAGTGTACTCCGCAGACATACGCCTGCAGGTGGGCACCAAACAGGTCGACCAAGACTGACGTCAAATAACGAGCCTCACATACCGTCTCTAGGGGAGAAACCGACGATAGTCGAGCAATCGACAGTCACCTGCGACGAAAGTAAAGTTATGTAAAGTCACTCATCTGACTTAATCCAGATTTTATGACCTAGTAGACGCGAGTGTTTGTTGGTAGCGCTTTTGGACTAGTCGAATTGGCTGTGACAGTTGCGGTCGTCTTAATGAACTGGTTGATTATGCCGACAAACACTGCACTTCGGTAGTGTTATCGCAGCTTGTACACGACTGTTTATTCGTCCCTTGAAAGTTAGCCTTTCGTAGAAACGAGAAGCCGGCCTCTCATTGTAAACTGGGTGCAGTCTCGGCAGCATGTGGATTCGTACCGTCCGGCTTATTCCTGCAGCCGGACAATTCCAAAGGGATGTGTGAATGAGTCGCAACAATCTGACGTACCATGCTATGATGTGGACTGCTCTGTGAGTAGGTAACAAGTGAGGCTTCGGCACATGACAGATTTGAGGCTCATCAAAATGTCCGTGTCCCGAATTTGTAGTAAATAGATAATTTGGTGGGATTTTGTTTCAGAGCAAGAACCTCGGATGGGGAATGCATCTGACACCACATATTGTGGTTACGTGGTGGTATGCTATTCAAACCGACTTATCGTATTCAGGGACGATTCCAGCTTTCCTGATTGAAGTAAAAGCAGGACCAAACAAAAGGCCGGTGTTTGTGTAGTTCGGCAGGAAGGCATGAAGGCCAACACGAAAATATGTTTGTTGGAACCCGTTTCCGTCACGAACGAGCCTAACGTACAAATACTCTTTGATCACGTGATGGAGATATTCCAATCAGAAACCGATAGAAAATGGCAACACGAATGCCATTGACTTTCATTTCCAGCCTCTGACCAAGCACAGAGGAATGCATAGGACCTAACCTAGGGTGGATGTATCAACAGCATCCTGACACTTAATCCCTTCTACAAATTCTTGCTGTGGTACTTTCTGATGGTACTCCTAGTTTAGTGTATAAGCGTACAACAATCAATTAGTCAGTATTTTTCATTCAAGCTGCCTACTATTTCGAGTGATCAAACGATCAAATCAAACTAGATGACCCAGGCTGAATCAAGCAAAATTGTTTCCATCTGCCATGTTATCTACAGTCCCCACATCATGAACAACGTCCCCATGAGTTCAATGAGCCACCCACACCCAGATAAACTTGACAGATTTCCAGTGTGACGAGGTATAGACTACACCCTATAGACAACGGGATTATAAACCCTGATTGTGAATGTCAAGCAGTCTCATCGTACGCATCGGTCAACTCATATCACGTGAACTACTGTCATCCAAGGTGGAACAATATCTAGAACAGCTAAGACAAACGGCCTGAATGTCCGCGAGTGGTCATATTACCAGACTAACTCGGCAACTGGTTCAACTAAGAATGAAACTTCGGTACTTCTTTGAAGTCTCGAGGATACTTCATCCAGACACGTGGTGCACAAAGAACAGGAAATTCCAACGCATTCTTGCTACAATAGTCCCCCTCCTTAAGGCACCTACGAAAAAACACCTCTCACTTAGGGATAATTCTGGTCGGAATAGGAGTAAATCTCTAGAAAGTCCGGTTTCCGAAAGAGAAAACCGTGACAACCAAGAAGACAAATGGCTATTCAAACTACGATGGAAGATCGGATGTGCACACACGGTCTACACGTAATCCTTCACCAAGCAGAAACCTGGCGTGAACCGAACTAAGACACTGACGTGAACATTGTTTGCGAGCGAACAAGGTCAACCTGAATAGGACACGGGTGAATGGTGTACCTCTTGAGCACCCAAACACCGCGGACGCCCGAGCCAGTTCCAATCTGAGCGATGCCAGATTCTCTTCAAGTGGGTGATTCATTCATTTTGTCGTTAAGGTCCTGTCAATGTCTAACTTACGGTGAAAGATGAGTAGGATGACAGCGATTGGATCACATGGTGAGTGCTGTGCTCATCACATGAAGCACACAGAGACCACGCTAGTCGATTTATTTATTCACTGAAAATACGTCTATTACGTGACGGCGCAAACAGTAATCCAAAATAGGTTCTATAGGAACAATTCAAAATTGTTAGGTGATAACATACAAGGCTACAAAAAGATATAATTCGGAAAAAAGGCTGACAGCATGAAAAGTCGGTAAATAATCTTACTACATGAGTGTGGTGGCAAACAGGAGTGAGACAACTTGCACGGTCAAATTAAGAATAGTGATCCCACTAAAAAATGCGAAAAAGGTAGTTGATTTGACCGATTATCTCGAATACCGTATGGATTTGACCATTCCAGACTAGACACGATAGAGTCCCACATTCTTGTTTCGGTACTATTACGATCACGAGTGATTTACCGCCCTATGTGAAGATAGCTCAATAGATGAAACGTCCAAACCTGGGGATTTCTGACTTGTTCCCCCGAAGGCCGTAACAAGATGGATTCTGTTTCCAATCAAATTACGTACCGTGTAAACTTGTTTAAAAAGGGCATTGAAGGGCACACGTGGCGTGGGAAAGGGAGCACGGTATACTGGGCATTTGTTAGAGGGAAGTTTTATCTAGTTCACGGAATACAGTTATGGTGGGAGTGTGACACAATGAGAAAAAAATTATTCAACAAAGTTGACATAACTTACCAAACAGCTCCATAGACCCCATGCCCAATTAGGCTGAGATCACGATAGCGTTCAGGAACTGTCCACTGAGTATGGTTGAAGTCCACCGTGACGAATCCCGGTTTGTCAGGCTTATTGTTCTGACTACGCGGTAGGGGCATTAAAGTACCCATGAAAAAGATATGAATAAGTGCACGAGTTAGTTGGCGTCATGAAAAATGAATGCGCGCCAACAGAAGTTGAAATTAGTATAACACTCGGTCTAACTCAGCCGGGCCGCGAAACTAGCTGTGATCATGTGAAATTCAACACCTTACCGGAGCAAAAAGGTACCACCGGTGTCCTTATTGGCTAATCTGAAGTGCTACGTCAAAACTCTGATCTAATTGGTAGTGTGACACGCTCAGCGAGGCGGGAGTTTATGGTGGTTTGAAAATGCGCTGAAAGCGGTAGAACGAATACCGGAGCCATGTATGGGTGGCGAATTATGTATGCGTTCACGTGCCAAAAACCAGCGATCCACCCACCCACGTATGAAGACATACAAAACCATAAGTAAAAACACACCAAAGGCACTGTGAGACTCTTGGAAAAACTCCAGAAACGGCACAGACATGTGTCAATACACCACTGTTGTAAGCTATGTGTGTGTTGAACGCACTACACAGCAAAATCCACGGTGAACATTTCGGAGTGTCAACGACGGTAGCCAAAGTATCACCACAGCCACTGAACTGGATGCGACGGGTTTTCAACAGCTGTCAATATCCCTGATAAACAAAGTACGTCAAAAAATCGGGTTAAATGAGCTACTATCAAAGTATGGTTAGACTCCTCAGTGAAGCATACCCCGAATTTCTTGGCACTTTTGAAAGTCCCATAAGAACAAGGGAGGCCTCAATGAACCAAACAAAGAACACCAAATGCCGGATTCCTACTGAATGGACAGTTGGTTGCCAAGAAGCGGATTTTTCTACTTAGTATCACCTGTCATTCATTCTGACCTGTCGACTCCATGTTTACAACTCACCCTATATGGAACTCAAAAAGACAAGCTGTGTTGCGATCCATTCTGACCAATCCTTTTGTGAGGCAGTAATCCGCCGGCTGGCCACACTACTCGACCCTACAGGAATACAGCTCTGCACAATTCGTTAATGAGACATTTGATTTGGATGGATCGACCTGGAAACTTCATATTTAAAGCATGCGTTTTTTTACATTCTGTGTGTGATGACGAAGTAAAAGTTACTAATGTGACTTAATTACTGATGATGGAGGTGGCCACAGTATTTCTACCATAATTTCAAAAGAACTAGACCTCTTGTGTGTCTTCAACGGTACTGAGTAGAAATGACAACACGGAATGGTCACGACACAGACCTCTCCTAGCCGAAAATTTTGTGGATAAAATTCAGCATTCTTCTCTCAACTCGATTTTCTAGTCAAGCCCCAGTCTATCGATGTGATATAGTTATAGATATAGTTATCGACTCCAAATCAACCACCAACAACTAAGTCATACAACCCAACAACGCACACCCGTCCATCCCATTTACTGCAGAACACGTCTGCAGACTGCCCCCATTTTCGACGCGTGGCTCTCGAAATAATCCGTGGAAAATCGATACAGACTGGCCGAAAGACGAACTTTACCAGTCTCTCCGATATTTCGTACATACGAAACTTAGCTCACTGTCCGGCGAGTAGGACCAGAGGGATTCGATCACTTGGTATTCTAGACCATAGCACAACACGCGAGCCGAAATCGTACCATTGGACTTTTTAGGACTTTTAGAACTTCCAGTGAAGGAAAACAGCTTCCGTTCGAGGTGAAAGTCCCTTAGAGTACAGTCGCACACAACTTTCAACGTCTTAGTCTTGCAATGCCCTACTCGTCCAGAACAATTCTCATCAGTGGTGGTCCCTTGATCACTCGTGCTTTGTAAACTACAGCGGTCACAAAATCAACGAGCCTCATCCGAAATCTGGATTAGGATATTGGGTAGCAGCACAATCCTGACCTATTTAATGGATACGAACGACTAGGTCAACTTGACTGAATCATGTAGCATTACTTATCGGTTCCCAGGTAATCGGAAATGGTTTGACAGTTGCAAGTTAACGCGGCAGAATCAATCGTTATCAGGCTAGTGTCTGACTATGTACGCACAGAAGCGACTAACTCAATCAACATGATTGGACTGGTCACCAACCGAGTAACCAAGATCAAACGTCATTGTCGACACGCGATTAAGTAATAACCTTTCAGCTGTAACACCCCCTCAGTGCCTAGCTACAATGCCACCGAAAGGAAGCACGGAGGCTGTGATACTGTCAGTTCACCCAAGCTTAGACAAGGGAAGTCGAGAGGCAGAGGTTGGGTTCGAATCACGGATCTTTCGGTCAGTAAATTCGTAATCTAACCAACAAGCCATCACGCGATTACAATGCATTCTTTCAGCCGTCTGATTACTGACTTTGTTTGCTTGTGTTCTGGTTCCGTTTGCGTACACCTGTTAATGTACAGCTGTACACGCCAGTTGAGGCTCGCAGGAAACAAATAGAACTACATATTCTCGATATCATATGGGAATATTCAATCCATTTTTTAACACCTTGGTGAACCAAACTGTAACAGTCGGAAGCAACGAACCCTTAGTACATGACAAAACGGAGTAACTCAAGTGAAATGAATATCCCCTCAAGTGGGACGGGAAGCAGGAGTAAACGGAGATAATGAATGCTGAAGAAAAACGTTTAGCTGTAACACCCTTCCGGCGCCTAGTTGCCATACTACCTGAAGGAAGCACGAGTGCTGGGGTACTGCCAGGTTGCCCAAGCCCAGACAGGTGATGTCGAGAGGCAGAGGTCGGATTCGAACCGGATTATTGTTTGACTATGTACTGAGTACCACAAATAAACAGCGAATGTGGAACAAGCCAAGAGTGGTGAAAATAAAAATTATCTGACAGGGAGGAGCTTATGTTAACTGAAATCAATTGAAGTCAATACGTCATCTTTTGCATATGGTATCGAACCTCATAAATTGCGTTCTCTTTGCACATAATCGCTTTGGTGTCCATTTTTCATTCGTTCGACCAATGATCCCTTCGGATTTGAGTAACTACTGGAGTTTCGGGTGACTAGCTTGCTGTGCTAGATTGTCGGTCGGTAGAGAATCGCCAGACTGTGACCGACTCAGTCAAGTAGTACACGGCATGCGATACCAGAGATTGGGTGTAGATTTTAAAGTCACAGAGACAGCAAGACTAAATTGCACTCAACCGATAGCCTCATTTAGCATAATGAGAACAAAGCCAGCTTGCATTCACATTCAACTGAGCGGGGAGAAACACACTCTCTTCCATGCCGCTATGAGCTCAAGGCGAACTGAACACATTCACACGCCTGTGTGGACACTATGACGAAGACTTCATATAAAGAATTAGCTGGTGCGTTTATTGTTGTACAATAAGGTCTGGTACCTGAAAAAAGTGCTAAATTATGAAACAAGTGAACGGACAAATAAGTGATTTTCCAAATTCATGATTTGTTGTCTGATGCCGCATAAAATGACGACTAGCCCGTTCAGATTCCTATGTATTCAAAGTTGAAACAACTGTATGCATTAACATGGCTATCGAATACGGGTGCAATGTTGAAAGAACATCACAGAATATATTGTGTGGAAGCAGTCGTGGGGGGTATCCTATTACTAGTCTTGTGGCGTGGCTGACAGGATTTTGCTGCCGAAATCTGGATTAGGATATTGGGTAGCAGCACAATCCTGACCTATTTAATGGATACGAACGACTAGGTCAACTTGACTGAATCATGTAGCATTACTTATCGGTTCCCAGGTAATCGGAAATGGTTTGACAGTTGCAAGTTAACGCGGCAGAATCAATCGTTATCAGGCTAGTGTCTGACTATGTACGCACAGAAGCGACTAACTCAATCAACATGATTGGACTGGTCACCAACCGAGTAACCAAGATCAAACGTCATTGTCGACACGCGATTAAGTAATAACCTTTCAGCTGTAACACCCCCTCAGTGCCTAGCTACAATGCCACCGAAAGGAAGCACGGAGGCTGTGATACTGTCAGTTCACCCAAGCTTAGACAAGGGAAGTCGAGAGGCAGAGGTTGGGTTCGAATCACGGATCTTTCGGTCAGTAAATTCGTAATCTAACCAACAAGCCATCACGCGATTACAATGCATTCTTTCAGCCGTCTGATTACTGACTTTGTTTGCTTGTGTTCTGGTTCCGTTTGCGTACACCTGTTAATGTACAGCTGTACACGCCAGTTGAGGCTCGCAGGAAACAAATAGAACTACATATTCTCGATATCATATGGGAATATTCAATCCATTTTTTAACACCTTGGTGAACCAAACTGTAACAGTCGGAAGCAACGAACCCTTAGTACATGACAAAACGGAGTAACTCAAGTGAAATGAATATCCCCTCAAGTGGGACGGGAAGCAGGAGTAAACGGAGATAATGAATGCTGAAGAAAAACGTTTAGCTGTAACACCCTTCCGGCGCCTAGTTGCCATACTACCTGAAGGAAGCACGAGTGCTGGGGTACTGCCAGGTTGCCCAAGCCCAGACAGGTGATGTCGAGAGGCAGAGGTCGGATTCGAACCGGATTATTGTTTGACTATGTACTGAGTACCACAAATAAACAGCGAATGTGGAACAAGCCAAGAGTGGTGAAAATAAAAATTATCTGACAGGGAGGAGCTTATGTTAATTGAAATCAATTGAAGTCAATACGTCATCTTTTGCATATGGTATCGAACCTCATAAATTGCGTTCTCTTTGCACATAATCGCTTTGGTGTCCATTTTTCATTCGTTCGACCAATGATCCCTTCGGATTTGAGTAACTACTGGAGTTTCGGGTGACTAGCTTGCTGTGCTAGATTGTCGGTCGGTAGAGAATCGCCAGACTGTGACCGACTCAGTCAAGTAGTACACGGCATGCGATACCAGAGATTGGGTGTAGATTTTAAAGTCACAGAGACAGCAAGACTAAATTGCACTCAACCGATAGCCTCATTTAGCATAATGAGAACAAAGCCAGCTTGCATTCACATTCAACTGAGCGGGGAGAAACACACTCTCTTCCATGCCGCTATGAGCTCAAGGCGAACTGAACACATTCACACGCCTGTGTGGACACTATGATGAAGACTTCATATAAAGAATTAGCTGGTGCGTTTATTGTTGTACAATAAGGTCTGGTACCTGAAAAAAGTGCTAAATTATGAAACAAGTGAACGGACAAATAAGTGATTTTCCAAATTCATGATTTGTTTTCTGATGCCGCATAAAATGACGACTAGCCCGTTCAGATTCCTATGTATTCAAAGTTGAAACAACTGTATGCATTAACATGGCTATCGAATACGGGTGCAATGTTGAAAGAACATCACAGAATATATTGTGTGGAAGCAGTCGTGGGGGGTATCCTATTACTAGTCTTGTGGCGTGGCTGACAGGATTTTGCTGCCGACTAGCCCGTTCAGATTCCTATGTATTCAAAGTTGAAACAACTGTATGCATTAACATGGCTATCGAATACGGGTGCAATGTTGAAAGAACATCACAGAATATATTGTGTGGAAGCAAAAGGATAACAGTCGTGGGGGGTATCCTATTACTAGTCTTGTGGCGTGGCTGACAGTATTTTGCTGCATAATGAGAAACTAACAATACTTTTCCCAGCCATAACTCAGGAAAGTATCTGTGATGGCGATACTTAAATAACCTCCGAAGCAAGTCCTTCTACCACTTATATTCCCACCACATTCACGTTCCTTAGATTTCCTGTCTAGCACACTCAATATCCTGACATATAGCTCTCAAACAGAAGTGTATAAATTCAAAAATAGTCTATTGACAGTGGATTGACAAGATAAAAAAACAGCTGCATGCTTTCTGTATAATGCCACTCGACTGCATAGTTTTACTACTCGTAAAGACACAGTGTGTGTATGACAGTCAATAGGAATTTCAGGCACTTATTCCCGAGAGTTATTACATCTAGAATTAATCGCGATTGTCAACATCCACGCCGATCTGGTCATTAGAAATGTGGATCCCAGACCAATTCAGCCACTGGATAGGTAGTACATATTGTCCAATAAACATGCTATTTATATCTGCCACCTGAAGCGTATTGGTGCAGTTTGCCCTTATCGCTGTTTTCAGTAACGGGAAACGTGGTCAGTTGCGAGTGGTTGCAAGAATCCGAGTGGATTCCCGCAACAGATGATAAAGATTTTCCTTAGCCCCTTAAAAGTGAACATCCAGTTTCATCAACCATTGACCTTAACCACCAAGTGCCAACTGCCAATATTCCAGAAACCACCACGATTTGTTTGTAAAGCATAACAGATCAATGAGTGTTTAGCTTTGGAACCCTTTCGGTGCATGGCTGCCGTGCATAACGTAAATAAACGTGGAGCAAACCAACTTGCTCTCTATAAATATAAATCAGTTCAACTTACTGTAAGAAAGTGTCCACCTCAAAAGGGAGGCTAACATTCTCCGTTTCGGTTGAAGAATCGCACATTAGCGTAAAATCACTGTAAAAACTTCACAGTGGAACACCGAACGGGTGAACTGTAAAGGTAAACGGAAAACTCGGTTCTCACAAAAGATGAGGATGCAAATCTCAGTACCTTGAATGACATTCTCCGAGCAACAGCGAAAGCTGCGAAATACAAACGTATCAATAGAATTACGCATATCTTGACTACCTCTGAACGCAAGTAAAGATGCAGCACATCCAACGAAAAAAGCATCCTCAGTGACAAAACGAATTTAACGGCATTACTTCACCCCGGCAACCCATCCAGGAAAAACGAATACACGCAACCGCATAATGAAAACTCATAAATTAGTACGTTGGCTACAAATTACCTGAGACCTGCACACACCACGCATGTTATTTGGGGACTCTGACGAAAATTCCTATAAGCATGAACTCGTCGCTTTGACGCGCTTGTTTGTACCCAAGCCAGTGTAACATCCCGGACTATTTTCACCAAATTCAGCAAAGGTGAATACCTGCCCTCAAGCAATCATCACTGGACACTTCAAAAAAGAACAGCGAGAAATCCTATCACGAGGCGATCTGGAGGTAAAGTCGTACTGTCCTCTGCGACTGGAGTGTGAAGGCAGCAAGGCACTTATAGAAGCACCGGTGCTGTCTTCCCATGAGGAAGGACGGGTTAGAAAAGGTTGGTCTAAAAACCGCACACTCCGATTGACCAACGTTTTACCGACATCCTACGCATTATTCAATCTTAAGACCAAAGCCTGGAGTTGCTCAAAAGACCCGTCCTGTGTGCAGCCACATTGAAAGTACGACAGAAATACCTTACTCCTTGCGTCCCCGAACCAGGCCAGCACCCTGACTGGAGTGTAAGGCAGCAAGGCACTTATAGAAGCACCGGTGCTGTCTTCCCATGAGGAAGGACGGGTTAGAAAAGGTTGGTCTAAAAACCGCACACTCCGATTGACCAACGTTTTACCGACATCCTACGCATTATTCAATCTTAAGACCAAAGCCTGGAGTTGCTCAAAAGACCCGTCCTGTGTGCAGCCACATTGAAAGTACGACAGAAATACCTTACTCCTTGCGTCCCCGAACCAGGCCAGCACCCTGCAGCCAAGTGGGTCAAACTATTGGGTCAGTGGCTCCCGAAAATGTCCACAAAGAAAACCCTAACAAACACTGCCTCGTGATTCAGACTTAAGTCAGAGGCTGAGGATGGGATCCCCAAAAAACCTACATTCTCCTACCGCCTTGTAGGTCATGTCTTTGAGCCAAAGGCTCAAGATGGAGTACCTCAACCAAACCCCTTCTTGAGCTTGAGAAACCAGGGAGCACCATTCGCCCTTGCAGCTCTCCGCTTACCGACCATTCTCAACACCCCCTACCCACCCATCAAATGATGCAGCGCGGTCAGCCCACATGCGAATCTCATAAACATCGTCCTGTCTAAACAATTGCACAAAAAATAAGTCGAAATAACCACTTGCTAACTGCAAAAATCTGATCCATGTTATAAACTTCAATTTCCGTACCCTATGTCAAGTTGGGCAACAGGCGTATTGCTGAGACCCTACTTTTCCGCTGCCAACCTATGTTGTGCCGCCGGAACACGCATACAAGACACCACTTCTTGTCCAGGTGTGCGTCGCGTGGTGCCATCAGCCGGTCGCTTTACTCGCCGCATACAGCAGGGCCGGTAAGCAAAAACGGGCTACTGTTGATGCCTCTCTTCTTTCTTTTTCACATATTTCTTCTCCCCCCTTTCCCCACCCCATTAACAACTCTCCCCTTGTAGGCCCAGCACTTAGGACTGATGATGTCGTTCGTCTTGCATCGGTTTTGCGTGCATCATCTGCTCGTCAAATGGCGCCGACATCCTCAGATACCTCCAAATCAATCTTCAAGCCTCGACACCCTCTATCTGGCCGCCTCCGACGTCCGCACTCTGAAGCAACCAGGACAACAGGCTGTTTTTACTCTCATACCTGACTCACTGGCACTGATGTGTGATGCCTCAAAAACGAGGATTCAAGATGCAAACACAATTATCATGCTAACCGACCCATCAGTCTTCACTCGCTTAAGGCTGTGCACCTCTGGTGATCCGGAGGCTCTTGCGGCGATATGTACAAAGGTTGGTATCGTCCTGAGTCACCGGGCGGAAGTTTCCCTACTGGATACCCGTTGATAGTCGCCTCTGTGTGATTCGTCTGGCAACGTCTGTGAAGGAGTTTCACAAGCGGCAAGTTGACAAATGTCTGTTTAACGTGTCTAACTACGCCCCAACTAACTGTGGCTCCGACGCGATCAAAGACAGGTTTTATGGTGCCCTGCTGCGGCGAGCTAAAAGCTCAAATATCGTGGTGTTTGCCGGAGATTCGAATGCGCAAGTATGCAGGCTTAGCGCATCTGACACTCATTTGGGAGGTCGACGTGGATTGGACTCGGTACATACGGACAATGGTGAACGATTGCTCCAGATGTGTGCTGATCGCAGGCTGTTTGTATGCAGTACTAACTTCCGGAAATTGGCACTGTACAGGAACAGTCTGTGATAGGCACACACCTGAAGTAGACGATTTCCGCTATCCGCGCATTTCGTATCCAACCCAATAGGATTACCCAATTGAGATTCAGCAGCGGTCAGTCTACCTACCTGAGTGTTCATGCCACCAGCAACAACGACATCTGAGTACCTAGAGCACCAAAGAGACTGTTTTTGGCATTTTCAGATCTATAGTCCGTTGGGGCGTAAGCAGACACAATAAACAGGTTACAACGGACTTCACTTCCTCGAGAATCGCTAAGGGACGCTGCCAAACGAACCGCGCATGGATGACTATCAACAGGTATCCAAGTAAGTAGACACGCTTCCGCTCGGTCGCTCAATACAATACCCACTCTGGCATGTACAGCCGCAGTGGCCTCTGTATCACCAGAAGTGAACAGTCGGAGCATGAAAGAAAACCCAGTAGCAGTCAATTCAATCACAGTACTTTCGTCCTGTATCTTTTTCTGACGGATAGCATATGCCAATGCACATGGATTCAAACGTACGAGCAAGAGCGACCAGTTGTCCAGCTTGCTTCAGTGTGCGAACATTAAACGCAGCTAAGTATACCGGCTTTTGGGGTGTGAAAACAGATTACGAAGTGTTTGGGGTTGTCACTGAAGTCGGACATACAGAAGCTGAAGCTGAGTGTGATGCACGATGGACAACACGATCAGTCCTGGTGCTCGGACCCGTAGAGAAAGTATTCAAACTTGGGAGGGGTAGGGTAGAAGGGGAAAAGGTTGAAAATATAAGGGAGGCGTCAGCAGTATCATGTTTTCGCTTACCCGCCCCGCTTTATGCAATAAGGCGATCCAGCTGGCGACACCATATGATGGTCTATCTGGCCTGAGATTATTTTTAGTTGTAAGTGTCAGGGTTTTAAGTGGGCGCAGACTAGACCGGAAGTCGATTAAGGTCTTCAACGGAGGCGTTTGGCTCAAAAGATTGATCGCAAGGCAAGTGTTTTTCTGGAAATACAAGTGTATTTTTTTATAGAAAAATCCACCACAAATGTTCCAACCCCCCAAACTGGAGGGACAGAAGGCTGTTCGTCAGACCTCTGACCATGGACCAACTATCATGTTTTCGCTTACCCGCCCCGCTTTATGCAATAAGGCGATCCAGCTGGCGACACCATATGATGGTCTATCTGGCCTGAGATTATTTTTAGTTGTAAGTGTCAGGGTTTTAAGTGGGCGCAGACTAGACCGGAAGTCGATTAAGGTCTTCAACGGAGGCGTTTGGCTCAAAAGATTGATCGCAAGGCAAAGTGTTTTTTGGAAATACAAGTGTATTTTTTTATAGAAAAATCCACCACAAATGTTCCAACCCCCCAAACTGGAGGGACAGAAGGCTGTTCGTCAGACCTCTGACCATGGACCAACCCGGTATGAGACTGAGCGTCGAATAGGCTCATACAGCTTATTGGGTCATGGAGGCAAACAAGCAGTCACCATGGTAAGGTTCAGTCTCTTTGTGACAATAATGCAAGAACTTACTACCCGGGGAATTCGCGGTTCTACCCCAACCCCGGCATCTCGACTGCTTCTCTCTAGCCTTGTGAGACCCGGTAGTATTTCAGCCCTCTTGCTTGCTCCGAGTGGTGAACTCAACAGAATAGTCCCCGTGGACCTCAACGCAGTCGCGGATGTTGGAGTTAGAAAAAATGTTCGGCATACCTCTGAAGGAGAGGCATCGCCACAATGCAGTGTGATAAACGAGCAGTGGATTGCTTGTAGACCTAAAAAGATAACAATGTTGTACTTCTGTATGTATAGCGGTGCTCGAGAAGTTATTTTAGAGCAAAGGTGTGATCAACGTATCCACGACCCGGACGAGACCCTATTTGGTTTCACCAGTGCTAGCAATCCTGCATTAGTGACCCTGAGAGATAACGGTTGTCACACAATTAATGACGATTGTGCATAGGAGCTATTGTCCTCATTTCAGTTCATCCACTCTGCCCATTCGGATGAAGTGTTTTAATGTCAATGAGCTGATTGGATCGTCGGTTTCTACATATGGTTTCTACACATTTCTACACTCTCAACTGCAGCAGCTGAAATCATTGTGTTCAGGTGCATATTTCAACTGGAATGCTGAAATGGAATGTTCTTAGCGGGGTGCTTCAGTTTAAGGCCACGGTCTCTATTTTTGTTCCAGCCTACCGCGAGTGCTGCAGGCATCTCCGTCTTTGGCTCTTCTGCCGTCCTGTTTGGGTGAAACGTTTAATGACGCTGTGATCAAATCCCCCAATGGTGACACCACCAGTAACTACTGAACTGCTTCATGGTGGTTGACCAATACCTAGTCTTGCATGGGGGTTCACCTGCTGCCCCGAAGTGAACATCCTCCATCAGTTGTGACGCTTGTGTCCCTACTATTTTCTCCAGGAATTAGATTCTGATAACAGCCGTTGCACTGACCGCATCCAACGTGGGCCAACTGGTCTTCAAATTGATCCTTGAAATCCAGCGAGACATGTCTGTTGCGCTTGACAACTTATAAGCCAATCCGTGGCTTGCTTTTCTGAACGTTATGGCATGTAAAAGGACATCGTAGCTGGAGACAGCTTTTAATGGGACAGAGGAAAACTACCACGGTTGCAGTTATACAGCAACCACAGAATTCATACAAACTGTTGAAGCGGAGGTAGAGGAGAGTAAATGACGACGACGCTTCAAGCAGGTTAGAAATCTGGAAAAATATAACAAATGTGGAGATCAGGAACGGATGCAAACGGACGACGATGGAAGACGAGTGTATGGGTAAGGACTTGCAATAAGGGCGAAACATGCGCTGAAAGGAATCTATGCACACGTCACTGCAGAAGGGAAGATAACGTTCAGATTACGGGAACAATGAACATAGAACAAAGGTCAGCAACGTGCAGACTCGTTTGCACACCTCACTGTGATGTATCTTACGAACACCAACCTCGGTGACGTGAGTAAAACTCTGATCCCATGGAAGCAGTACAATTACTGAAACTCCTGGTAGCAATAAGGCACTTGGGCAGGATATGCTGAGAGCCATCATTCAAACACCTGTCACAGACATGCAAACAGTCAGTAAAAAACATATATCCCGGGAAGACTGGGGCACGGGAATAATCCGACCAATCTCAAGTGGTCATAACTGCAGAAAAACCAGCGATCTGCTTAACGCCAGTAAGCCTCAGGAAGAGGAAGTCAAGAGCAGTAGACACGCTCCTATAAACAAGTGGAATACCCAACCCTGTTCATTGTTGTTCCGAGGATGGGCCGTCGTACATTAAAATCTGCTGGTAACTCGCAAAGCGTGGTGTGATGAAGTAAGATAGGTCACACCACATTGCTTCATGCACTTCAACAGGCTGGAAACTGTATGCCTTCGTAGGAACAGAGTAAACCTAACGTTTGGCAATGGCAGTCAAGTGCGTTTTCCATGAGCCCAGACAGGCCTTCGACGTGTAACCAGGCTTTTCTCGATTACAGGACCTGTATGATGTATGGAGACTCGTTTTCGGTCACCTGTTATTAGCTGACGACGTAAGGCACTAAAGGAAAAAACTCCATGGAAGACGAGTTGGAACTACAGAGAGATCTCAACAGGTAGGTCGACTGGTGCCTGGGGTTTGTACTATCCAGTGACGGAATCATGATAGTGAGATGCGAGCGGAATTGAGGACCACCGCATAGGCAGGATATTCCAGTGAGGACTGTACTGAGTGCTCAAGCAAGATGATTGCATGACAAACTAACGGTACTTCATTGAAAAGGAGGAGTTAAGCTAACACGGATGACCAGAACATTTCATGCATGAAAGCTCTAGCTGTCCAGCCTGACAAACCCAACGGTCATCTAGCTACCAATGGCGTGCAAACAACTCGTCTACTCCCCACGTACCAAAGGCGCAGGCCACCAGCTGAAACAAGTAGGAGAGCCTGATAAATTAAAGGTATCCGCAAGAAAAAGGTCCTACTCTCAAAGCCTCTAAGCGAAGCATGAGTAAACACAAAATGACCGGCCTTTGTTCAGCGTCATTAAGCATAACAGAGGGTGCGAGCTTGTTTGGACTGAGGTAAACTCGTTCAACTTAACAAGAAATTGTTGTTCGTCCGTACCGCATATTCGTGCTCGCAGTTCGCGGTTCGCCTGCGGGTACGCTCCATGATGTCATTCACCTGTCATGCTTGTTTGTTATGTAGCACCCGGTAACAGAATCTTACTAGTTCATAAACTACCAGTCGACCACACAATGAATATACACTGGGCAGTATTCACCGTATTTTACAGGGCCGAAGTGACAAGTGCTACGTACATTTCCTATGATATCCGGGGCTACTTGATTTGCTTCTGTCTACATGTCACACAGAAGACCACATTGGCATACCAGGATCCAGGCAGACAAATGGTACGCGCATGTCCACCGACTATCCAGAAGAGTTCATAGGGTGTGAATAAAATCCTCCGTCGACGGAGGTGCGATCGTACATATTCGAGGCTATGGCGGTGGACAACCTCAGATCAGCATATCGGATAACTTAAGTGGACATCGCCAGGAATTAGGTCCTACCACTTGCTGACACTAGACGAACA